TTTATTAATTAAAAATTAATGAAATTTTGTAGAAATAATATGTGCTAATAAGATCATTTAAAAATGCAATAAAAAAATTTGTTACACAAAAACACTTATTCTCAATTTTGGATCTCTATATTAAAATGGTAAAACTTTGAAACAGTGTGGCACAAAAAATTTATATATAAAATAAAATTCTAAACTGTAAGTTTTAAAGTTAAGGTCATTAGCTATCAAAAATTACGGTGTACTTTTTTTTTAAAATTTTTTTTGGGTGATCTACACCCTTTAAAAAAAGGCAACATTTGTTCCTATTATAGAGCTTCTGCACTGTATTTCCAAAATTACACAATCAAGTCCAAAACCTCAGGTCTGAAATCGAATTATTCAACATCAAAGATAAAAAAGGTAGGGTGATTGTCCAGTGAATGACACCCAATCTTTATTTTTGCTAGGTACACAGCGAGCCTTTTTTCTTTCAATGCCTCATGATAAAGGTTGCAGCAAAATCAGAACAAGACTTGCCAAGATGTTTTACCACATATTGAAAAAGATTCTCTTAAGATACAACAAAGCAATAAATTCACTTAAAATAGCTACCTAAAAAAAAGACCATTTCAGAGGCATATGTGACAATATTAAGGCTTGCTTTTATCCGAGCTTGAGAATCAAAATCTATGTTTCATCAGCTGACATCATTGAAAAATCATCAGATGGAAAATAACCTATTTCTTTTTGACAGGTTTGGAAAGTCCTTCAAATCATTAATCTAAAATAAAAGAATACCTGGTGATAGCTTCTGCTTATGTTGCTGCACAGAAAATTGGTGGAATGACCATACACTCATCCTTGAAAGTGAGGGAAGATACAAAGAAATATTGATTTTTCAAACAGTGCACATAAGACTGAGCTACAGTAAATCAATGCCATTATAATAAATGAAATATTTATGGTGGACAATGATCTGCTCACCTTTGTCAGCAATACCTTCTCCTGAGTTCATAATAATAACTCAACACATATAATACCCTTGTTTGATCTTTTTCTTTTTAGTATTGGTATGCTGACATTAATGTGGTTCACATCAACCAATCCCTTGTTTTCTAGAACTTGCTTTCAATATCAGAATCACTATGTTAAAAAAAAAATCATTTAGATTAACTTGTAAGAATCTAATTTTCATTTTTTATTAAATAATTTTTTACCATTATTTTCTGAATCACTCATTGAAGCATCATTGTTTTTCTCAAGTTGTATTTCTCCTAGACTTTTTATAATTAAATTTTATCAATATGGAAAAAATCTATTTTCTGAATATCTTGTTCAATTTTTTTGTTATTTCAATAAAATAATTAGTAATGATCAATGGGTGCATAAACAAAATTCAAAGTTCACCTTCATTTCTGCTAGAGTTTTTATTTGTAAATTCGTAATGCAAATTCTTATTCGAATTATTCATAATATACAATTATCTTATTTTGAATTATTCTTTTTTATTTTGAATTATCCCGTTTTTATTTTATTCGAATTACGGTATTCGTTTTTATTTTGATTTCATTTTATTTCGAGTCATTCATTTTATCTTGAATCATTCATTTTTATTTCGAATCATTCATTTTATTTTGAACCATTCGTTTTTATTTCGAATCATTTGTTTTATTTCGAATCATTTGTTTTATTTTATTTGAGTCATTTGTTTTATTCAAATTATTCGTTTTATTCAAATAGAAACCCTAGTTCTGGTCAAGTGCAAGGGTTTCTTTCCAGCTGCACATGTACTATTATTGCAGGTAAGTTCTGGCCAAGTGTATCATTTTTCTTTCCAGCTTCATATGCTCTAAAAAAAAAATAGAAATATACTACTTGAGGCATCACTACAAGCAATATAGTAAAATCAAAAAGGGTTCCCAACTAATAGTTAAAGGTTGGCCAAACCATTAATCATCAGAAAGGATTATGAATCAACTAGCTTTATTAATTAATTACAGTTTTTATTAAAAAATTGAAGGAAATTTTTAAGTGTATTTATACATGACTTTTTACATGATTTTGTCCAATAAATAAAATGATTAATAATGAATGACTAATAATGAATGACTAATAATGAATGCCAAAATGCATCATTGATGTTGTCATGATATAAAATGCAACAATTGGGATCCAAGTTGGTCCTCAGTTTACTATTACTATCTTGCATGGCATTTTCTTGATTTATTTGGGTCATGTACTGTATATTATCATTTTGCATATTCTCCCAAGCAAGCTGTGTTAAAGTCAGTTTTCTCTTTTGAAATTTTCTCTAACATTAGGAAGTTTTTTCCTACATAGGATTTACATTCAAACCTCATCACAACACAGTGGATTTCTTGTTAACGGATTTTATTAATAAATTTGTTCCTGTTATTTCACAAAAACAAATAGAACATCCTCATGTATTCAGCTGCAGCTTTAAAATATTTTATGTGCTTTACAAAATGTTTCTCTATCGACTTTTGGTGGTTCTTCATCATCATTTTCCCGTGGTTTAGATATATCTTCTTTACCACTATGAAATATTACCTTCTATTACTATCTACAAGTTTTTCTTTCTTACGGTTTCCATTTTTATTTATAATTGGATTATGTCAAATGTTTTTTTGCTATATTAATATAGAAAGAGCAATTCGGGAGTGGATTGACAAAGAGAAGAAAAAATGATGTAAAGTGATGATGATGAAAAAGAAGTTCATGATGTTAACAATAATATTATCATTTGGAAATAATGATAGAGTGACCAAATACTCATCAATGGCTTTGATCCAAGTATTTTCTTCACATTCAATTACTCTGGTGATTTTTATCTTGTATTTAATATTTTATACATATGTATCTATGTATTATTGGTCGAATCAGAATAAAAACACAATCTATCTTTTATCCTTTCCTCAAATATGGATACCTTTCCCTTCACTATTGTGTCATGTCTACATTTGACATTATTATTCATAATAAATGATTGCCAAGTAACAACAAAACCACGCAGAAATGAAAATCCAATCAACTTTGAAAGCCATATAATGTCCTGGAAGATATTTTTGTTGTATCCTCATTTCCATGAGTTCTACCCATTGGTCTTGTATAAAGCTCTGAACAAGCTGTAAAGATATTAAGTTAGCTCCAACTCAACTCATTCGGAGCTTTAAGTCTAACTCTTAGTGGCTAGACACATGGGCTTTCCAATAGAAATGCGTGAAACTCAAAATTATTTAACTTTATTATTATTTGCTAGGAATTAGCATGACTAATATCATGTTTAAAACATTACCTTATGGATAAGACATAAAGTTGTAATTACACCAGAGACATACATTTATGTGTAAAGCATAAAATAGTGTTGATGTTGAAACCATTTAATTGTATATAAGAAGCTTAAATTCGATGTACTTTAAACATAACTTTGCGATAAAGTTTTAATAAATTTAACTTGGTAATAAATAAAGTTTAATAAATATTAGAAGCAAGTTAATAAATAGTTTCGACTAAATAAATTTTCTTTCAATTAAATACGCTCTCCCCAATAATAATTGGTAAAAAAAAACTCTATACCAATATTAATGCTGTTTGTGCTATAGAGATTTTTATGTCAGGTGAAATGAAAAAAAATCAGGGCAACAAAAAAAGGTCATTAATCCTCAGAATGGCAAATATAAAATGCCTAGAGTATTAACCCTTAACACCTCACTCATAAAAAGATAAGGTATTATGTATATAGGCGAAACGTTATTTATCTTTGTGAATTACTAGAACTTATTTTTTGTATCTGCAATAATACTAATTTGATTAATTTGGTCTTAAATTTGGTTACAAAGCATTAGCATTGTATCTTCTTGCGCCAATCAAAATTTGAATCATAAATTTTAAATTTCTTAATGACCCAAAGAAATATTCCAAGAAATTGAAACACAAAAGATATCGGATGCTTGTAAAGCTCCATTTAAATATGACTCTGAATGGTATCATCCTCCTGATTATTTATTATCAGGTGACCTGAAAAATTTTATATATAGGACTTTTTCTGTGATTAGCCGACACATAATAGTCACAGGACATTGCAAATCAAATGTCATTCAATATAAACGTTACACAAATAAAATTATTATCGTTCACTTCAAAAAAAAAAATCTCCGTTTTTCATATAGTGTGAGATCAAAATTCCGCGTCTCATACAAATCTCTTGGATTTAGTTATAATATTATTTATCCCTTCCTATGGCAGTATCCAGTTGTGTAATTCTTTGATTACTTTCTTTTCTGTATAGCGCTCAAGCTATTTAACTCTTTGCAGGGCAAGTTTTCTTACCTCCCATCCGGTAACGTTTTCTCAGCAGTTGCTATGTTTTCTGCCTGAGCCGGAAC